AAATCAACATCTTGCTACAGTCAAAGAAGAACAATCATAAAAATATAGCTGCCTACAGCTAAATGTATACCGTAAAGGGTATAGGAATAAGCGTATAGTATTAACGTTATATTATTAACGATACAGACATATGGATATAGGATTAAGGATACAGACATAAGGGTATAGGGTTAAGGATATAGTATTAAGGGTATAGGAATAAGGATATAAGCATAAGGGTTTAGGGTTTAGGATATAGCATTAGGTGTTTAGGGTTAAAGGTATATGGTTAAGGAAATAGAGTTAAGGGTACGAAGGTAAGCGTAAAAGGATAAGAGTATAAAGTATGATGTTCTCAATGCATTACAATGCATTTTTAACAATAATGTATGCAATTACATGATAATACAACCCAAATAATGCATTTTAATGCATTGATTTTTCAATGAATTGCAATGAATTTTTATAAAAAATGCATTGTAATGGATTATTTGGGTTGCATTATCATGTAATTGGATCCATTGCATTTCTATTGAAAAAAAATGCATTGCAATGTACATTATTTCTAAAAATCGGCTACATGGGGAGCCCTTAATTTCCGATAAACTCACTAATATACCTATTGAAACTAGGTTTCCTCCTCTTCTAGTCTAGGGACGAGTGAATTGGTATCCAATAAGCACTCATTGTCTTAAAGAGTACGGTCAGGGTACGAAAAACATCGTAGGGTAGGGTATGAAAATACATACACTTGTAGGACTCCATTTGAAACCAATAGAGAGATTCATATGAACCGGATGGTTTGATTTCAATAATGGAACTGGCGCAATGGAATTCCTAACAATAATATGCTAAATGAACGCTTTTTCTATTGTTCGTCTGGCAGCTACTGCATATTAACAAGTAAGCAACACCAACTGATTCCAAGCTTTCGGCTTCATATATTCGCTATAGGTAGGTTGCAATGAGAACAAGAAAATCCTGGAAGCGTTCATGCTCATGGGCTGTTGGTCCAAAGTTATAGCCATTTACTAAGTTTTTAGCCTACGTCAAAGTATTCATATCAAAGTCCAATGAAGAGATTTCGATGTGATAGTCTGTCCATAAACAGGTCTAATGATTCCTAACATGTACCAAAATTTTCAATAAAAATGGATGCTTCATTCTTCAGATATTCAGTTTTCAAAAAATGTCCACTTGTAACAGATAGGTCGCAATAGTGGACCTGTCCTGCAGATGGAATATCTCAAGAAGGAAGCATCCTTTTTTAATGAAAACTTCGATCCTTATTAGGAACCAGCAGATCTGTTTATGGGCAGAATATCACATCGAAATATCTTCGTTTCATTTTGATATGAATTCAGTACCGTAGTCTAAAATTCAGTAAAACGGCTATAACTTTGGGTGTGGGAGTGGGTTTCAGTCTTCGCTTGAGCCCCCCCCCCCCCCCCCAGAATGCATTCGAGTGAATTTTTTCTTAGGAAACCACTCCATAAAGAAAGCAATATAATCGAAGTTTCTGTAATCACCAGAGAGTGTGAGTGACATGACATTTCGAGGATTAACCACATGACAAACTCGTAGAAAATGCCTCTTTGAAATTATCGATCAGGTACGGATATGTGCGCGAAATCAATATTCCGCACCCCAGCGAGATCCTGATATTTGTGGGGCTAACTATATTCATAAACAGTCACGGAATAAAACGAAAAACAATCGAGTGATAGACATTGCCTGCTTGTAAAACCGAATAGACAAACATTTCAAGTATTTCTTTCCCACGATAAGGAGGACAACCTTGAGAGAAATGGATCAGAACAGGTGTAAAACACATCGATAAAAATGAAGAAAGCATATACATTTTTTTCAGAGATTGGGGCTACTGTTTATCGTGGTGTATGCATGTAAATCAATGCAGCTGCATGATACAAGGATAAATTCGATTCTACAGCATGTATTAATAGTTTTTTCTAAATCACAGACTTCATTCTCAGAAAGAAAAATACGATGGTGCTTCGAGAACTAGTAAAAAAACACGTCGTACTTGCCTTTCTTTTGGCTCTGAGTAGCCACATTGTTCAGACACATCTATCGATATGGACTCCAGCAATGTTTGGCTCGGATCCGGCTAATCCGAATAGCGATAGAGCGGCCCAGCCATTGCAAGATTACACATTTGATGAGTGGTGGTGGCATGGAAACCTGGACAAGCCACCGCCACCAGGGGCAGTTTTCAACTTACCCGCCAATGGAAAGGCAGATATTGAGATATCTAGCAACAAGGCCTTTACAAGTATGGGACATATAGGATTGCGTCCAAAGCCGAGGGAAGCACCAGTACCCTGGTCGAACGAAGGAAATGGATGGGGCAGTGAGTGCCACTTTTTTTTATCTCATCAGCACAGAAGATGTGTATTTCTCACATAGATATGCATGCCGTGCACCGTGTCGATGTAGCAGGCTGTGCTTTTGGAATTGCGTACAAGTCGGAAGCTCGCGATGTCAAACCCGAAGATTTCGTCATCTTTTCTGTTGTCCATGACTGTCCGGCACGTCAATTGCAGTCATTTGACATTCCCGATCTGCCAGCCTGTCCGAATGGACGATGCATGTGCTCATGGTTTTGGATTCATGAATCACGTGGAGGGACCGACCAAATGGTATGACACTCTACACTTGTTTACCCTTCAGTTTACCTTTCTAAATAGTACATGACTCCTTTTGTCTGCAATGTCACAAAGGTCTCGAACACGCGCAGGAAAATCGGTTCTCCGAGAGCCCCAGTCAAATGTGACAGGCATCCATTCGATTGCGTAACGGGTCCCAAGTCACCAATGTATTGGAAAAATCTGGAAGGAAATAATATGCACGAACCAGGTCACTTCGCTCCGACGTACAGCAGAGCATATGGGTACGCAGAAGGTGCTCAACACGACATTTTTGTGTAAAGATCTCGGCTTCTGTTCTTGTTCACAAATATAAAAGTCTTCGCATAATAATTTCTAATTCTTTCTTGATTGATATAATTTATCCTCGGTGAACTCATCAGTGTGATATCTGTTTATTATAAGAGCTACTTCGAAATTCTTTTTGCCAGTAGTTTACTCAGCTAATCAAAGGTTGACGATAAGTATCAGGATTTCCAATCCATTCAAGATCGAAAAAGTCCATGAAAATTCAGAAGTCCCAGATCCAATTGCACAAAGTCGATCGGAGACAATCAATGAATGTATGAACAAGAGCTGAAGACAAAATCGATTCTATCGTCTAAATAACAATTCTCATCCGGAACATTCTGAGAAGCAGCCACGAATGTTTCGCTCGACAGATTCAGCATCATCTGCTGATTAAAATGAATAAGAAGTGTTTCAATACAAAAAATCAAAATGAATCCTACCTCTTCTAATCCTATCCATAGTCGAATGGAACTTCTATCGATGGCAAATGTCACACTTCGATGACCAGTCTTCTTTGCGATCCACTATCGAGTAAAATCAACAGAATCACAAGACCATTCATGCTCGTTGAGCTTGCAATGTTGTTCTCAGTTGCCATCGTTGAAACTGATTCAGGTGCCTTCGTCGTTGATGATTCAGGCGTAACCAGAGTTTACGTATTGGTTGTAGCAGACGGCGACAGTATTGGCTTGTTATCGATGATAGAAGATTTCCTGTAAGTGATCGTGCCCAGTCAATGGTGCATACATTCGATCGTTTATCTTCATGCAAGATAAGATGGTATGATAACAGTGAAGAACGTAAAAATCAACTTCAGCTTTTACTTTCTCATGTATCCCGCCCAGAGATGCTCGTCGGGGCACCCATATGGTCGGGGCCCATGGAGAACCCATGGGGTGACGCCCCAGATGGGGAGGGAACGATATATCACCCCATCATCTTCCCCACAAGAGTAAATTTTCTCAAATCCATTTCCATACCCATGGTGTGGACCATGGGGTAAAAAATCTTTTAACCCCATGGTCTAAATGAACTTTCATCATTTATGAAATAGTTTGAAAAAAAATGAGTGACGAGATTATAGAAATTTTCTTATCGCCGTACTAGTCATACAGTGTATTACACGTTCTGCCAATATATTTTCTCTTTCGTTCTTCATTTTTATTTTTCGTTGTTTTGCTTTCGTCTTTAAGTTGTAATATGAAAAGGATATTCCATTCTTTCGTTTCTTTCTATACTTTTATAGTTATCTTCAGTATTTCTTTCATTTTTCGGCCGCCATTACTTCTTCCCTTTACTTTCTGTGTTCATCTTTCTATCACCGACTTATTTCGCACTCTATACACGTACATAAACACGCTGTTTATGTTGTTAAGTACCATTTTCCCCTCTTTCCTTGCGCTGCACGTTATATCTCTCTTTCGCATTTTTCTCTGATTTCTTGCGATGCGTGTTATATCTATCTTTTACGTTTCATTTCTTTTTTTTTCATCCATACATCGATATCCCAGTGAAAAATGTGAAACGTTCTAATGCGTTCCAAGAAAATGAATGCCCTTTTTTTAAGAGAAAAAAAGCGTTCCAACAAAACTTAGAACGCGTTCCAAAATGAAAATTACATGTCGAGAAACGTTCTAGTTTTGATGGAACGCTTTTTTTTCTTAAAAGAAGGGCATTCATTTTCTTGGAACACGTTAGAACGTTCCACATTTTTCAGTGGGATTAACTAGAGAAAATTCGAAATTCGATGTTACATGCGTGTTTTTTTCGTCGTTAATCGTTACAATAACATAACTTGCGTTGCATTTCGCTAGCTCGTTTTTCCATAGAAAAGAATCGCGAAAGAAGATAGTCGATTTATAAATCTTTATATCTATATCTGACTCTATTTATGTTGTTATTTAATTCTTGATTCTGTTTTTCAAAAGAACAAGCTGTTTTTATAGTTCAAATTAAAATTTAAAAGAATTATCTGGAATTTTTTTTACCGTATGTGTGCTAACATCACCGATTACGTATTATTGTTTTTTTTGTTTTTAGATTCAACTTAATATTTTCTTGACCATGGCAACATCCGAAGATGAAATCACCATCAATGATAGTTCATATGAATGTTCTTATAAATACACAAAATCATCTTTGTCAAAACTTTTAAAAGAAAAACCAAATGAATTTCGTATTATGAAAAAAGAAAAAACAATGAGTAATTGTTGGTCAATTTTTGGACAACCAGCCCGAAAAAACGAACAAGGAACATATGTAATTATTGAAGGTTTTGTTTCTTGCTCCAAATGTTTAAAAACATATGCTTATAATTCAAATACTGGAACAAAAACTTTGAACGCACATTCATGTGTAAAACAATTTATATCTAATTTAAATAGTCAAGAAGAAAATGAAAATATTTTATCATTAAATAATACAAATAATAGTACAATTTCTACTCCATCATCAACATCAACAATGGCTATTTATTCACCATTGAATCGTATGGGATTGATTAGTCGAAAAAAATTATCTGACAAAGAAATAACAAAAATCAAAGATTTAAGTGCATTTTGGCTGTGTGAAGCATTACGACCTTTTTCGATTATGGACGACATAGGCTTAAGACGTCTTGTTCAAGAATGTATCAATATAGGTAAATCTTTTCTTTGTATCAGATAAAATTAGAATTCCGATTTATATGTAAATTACAGGTGCCAAATATGGTTGTATTGATGTTGATATGGTGTTGCGTCACAGATCGGTAATTAGTAATCATATAAAACAATTGGCAACAACATCTCGTCAAATGTTAACATCTGATTTCATTGAACCCTTAAGTGTTCAAGCGTTGACCGTCATTCCAGACTTATGGTCTGACAAATACAATCAAATTAGTTTTCTTGGTGCTACAACTACATATGTAGATGCTACATTTAATTTCCGGTGTTTTGATTTATTCTGTCGTGAATATCAGGAATTGAATAAACAAAGTGAAAATATTCTTACAGTACGTAATAATCTATTATTGTTTGATACGTTTATTGATTTATTTATACTTCTATTTAGGCACTGAAGAAAAATTTAATGGACTTTAATATTCACAATTTATCATCAGTTAATTTGTGTTCGGATCGAGGTTCAAATTTTGTGAAATGTTTTAAACAATTCCGTCCCGTTCATTGTTATGCACATCGTATTAACAACATATTAGCACGAACTTTTTTTAAAAGCGATCAATCAAAAAAATCAAAACAATTTTCATCATCATTATTAGCATTAAAAGATGAAAGTTCTGAATCATCAGCAAGTGAAGGTGAACTCGAATGCCATGAATCGGATGATGAAAGTATTCCATCAATGAAAATTAAAAAAACGAAAAAGGTCAATGCATCATTTACAACTGATAATACAAACTACAGAAAAATTAATCATATGCAATTGAAACTCGTCGATATACCTATTGAAGCACAAGCTTTAATTGAACAAATTTCCAAAGCAAAAAAATTAGTGAAGTACATAAAAAAAGTGAGTACCACACTTCGTATCAATTTATTTCATAATGTAAAAATATTTTAAAGGCTAGTTTAAATCAAGAAATTCGTGATATTGCTGGTTCAACATTAAAACAATGTACTCAAGTTAGATGGTTATCATTGTCTGATACACTTATCTCGATTGTAAATTCATATTCACAAATAAAAACAGTATTAACTCGTAAAGGTCAAGCTGCTCGAATGACTGGAATTAATAAAGCTGATCTGATGGCAATAGTACGGTTATTAATTCCATTTAAAATAATTTTAACAGCTGTGCAATATGGAACAGGACCATCTCTTCATATGGTCTTATTGTCTACATTACAACTTCGACAAGTTTTATCGTCTGCTGATAATTTATATGATTTTTATAAAACATATTATAAACAACATGATCAATCGAATGAAGTCGATGGTGGCTTATCAACAACAAAAGCATTAGATACAGATGACGATGATGATAATTATTTTGAAGGAGCTGGTAAGATTACATATGTTTTCTTTTCCAAGTGAAATCAACTATTCTGTTTTCTTACTCGGGTGCTTAGGTATTAAATTCTTACGTCTTCGGTTATTATCGTTGCTCAATTCAATGTTTGATATTGATATACGGCATTATGCATCGGTGTTTTTACATCCAAAATATCATACTTTAAAATATTGTACGAAAGAAGAAATACGTTTAACACATAAATTTGTTCGTGATGAAATTAAAGCTATGAATCATTTATCATCACCTGCATTACCTGAAGCAGTTGTACAACCACCGAAAAAAAAACAACGTCAACTATTTGAACAATTTACATATGATAATACATTCGATTTTCCTGAACAACATGATGATGATGATGGTGAACCATCTGCAAGTTATTTCAACAACAGAACTGCAGATGAAGTTACTCAATATATGTGTTTGGTTGGAAAAGTAAACAAAAACAAGGACAATGAAAATCCATTACCTTGGTGGTTTGAACATAAATCAAAATTGCCCAAGTTATCATTATTAGCTCGTCGATTATTTTCAATACCAGCGACTTCAGCCAGCGTCGAGAGACAATTTTCCAGTGCTGGTTTAGTTTATACTGAACGAAGAAATCGTTTAAATACTGGTCAATTAGATAATGTATTACTTGTACGTGCAATGCAACACGCAAAGATAAATGAAGTCAAATAATGTTACTGTTGATCAATTCAAACCATGCAAGTAGAACTCTCTCTATTGTTTTCTTTTCAATTTCAGTTCTATTTTTATATTGTACATACTTGTCTCTGCCCATATTTCTTATCCTAGTATATGTGTGAAGTAAATTTGAAATGATCAAAATGACTATGTTTGATCAAAACAATTTTGTTGTTTTCTTTTGTGAAATATGATAGATATTTTGTTATGGGTATTTTTGTATTTTTTTTTTTTCGTTTTTTTTATTGTATATTTGCTGATATCATTTATTGTTTATTTCTGTGTGCGTGTGTGTGGATATTTTTTTCTCAAAAAATAAATTATCTTTTATGTTCACCCCATGGGTGGGGCAAAGGGAGCCCATGGATGGGGTGAACTGAATTTCAAAAACCCAGTCTCTCCAAAGATGGGGAAAGTTGTTTTTTTAAAAGTTGGCTTGTGGGGAACCCTGAGGATGGGGAGCCCATGGGCCCCATGGGGTGACGAAAAAGATAACATGAGCATCTCTGATCTAGTCTATTGTTCTTAGATCTTTCGGGTAGTTATCCAGCCGTTTCTATAGAAACCCTACTAGTAGAAACAAAGAATACATCGTTAGCACGGATCAATCTATGAAAATGCTATATATTTTATAACGAGAAGCAATGCGCAAAATTAAGTCATTCACCTCTTGCTTTGCAATGCGAAGAACTTCACATCAATGTAATATATCGAATGTCAATATGTTATCTACGTAGTTAAAACAATGCGCAATATGCAATTATTGTATGTAAATTGTAAAAACGACGCACGATGAGGTAGATTTCAATAGAAGATAACAAGAAAGAGCAAAACTCAACAAAAGATGGACTTGTCAATTGGCTACGGCCATCGGTTGTAATGTTCCCATGCCAATAACTATAATACTTTGGTCTGCAATTCAGGGTAAAAACTTTATTTTTTTCAGTTTTGTTGTTTTTTACTCTTTTTCATTTTGTTGTAAGAAACAAAAGATATTAATTATACAATGTGTCTATGGGAAATGGTGTCGTTTCAGCGAAAAGCATTTCAGCGAATGACTTTTTCAGCGAAAAACGATTTAGCGAAAATAATTCACAGCGAAAAAACATGACAGCGAAAAGAAATAATAGCGAAAAACTAAATTAGCGAAAGAGCAAAGCAGCGAAAAAACTTTCAGCGAATTTTTTTTCTTGGTGAGCTCCATCTACCGATCTATGAGAATAATTCATCGTGGTTAATATATTTACAAGTAACCGTCCTTGTTTATTCTTTCCTTCTCTATTGTACTTGTACGGACGAAATAATCGACTGTTTTCTTCTCTTTTATCATACGCATTCTTTTATAGATCATACGTCCGTACTACGTACATCATTTTATTTATTTAACTAAACTAAGTATGACTGATCCACCATCGATCTCTTTTACCACTTCGAATCGAGGCAAGCCTTTGCTCGTTTACTCAGGATATATTCATCGACTTAAAAAGTCGACGGAGAAAGTGAAATATTGGGTTTGTCATAGTGATGGCTGTTTGGCTACCATTCACACGAACAAAAACGACGAAATTCTTAAAGCTTATGGTCATCATTATCATATACCTGATCCAGAATAAATCGAACTTCGAAATTTAAGAAAAAAAGTGAAAGATAGAATACAATCTAAAACTAATTCTATACCTAAAATATATGAAGAAGAATTAGCTCGTTCAAATCTATCTTCAACAGCTTTAACTCTTGCACCTGTTGTTGTTGAAATTAGTAAGTTTATCATCAATCGAAACATCCAATGCCTTTTTTTATATAGAATCGGTTCTTAATCGTGTTCGTCGAAAAACAACTCCACCTCTACCAACATCAGCTGATTTTGATATTCCTGATTTNCTTAAAACGTTTCCGATAGTAACAAACTCGTAAACCGAACAGAGTTTCCGAGCCTCGGATACCCTTTCATGCGTTTCCGAACTTCGGAAACCTTTTTCGGTTTACGAGTTTGTTACTATCGGAAACGTTTTAAGGGTTTCCGAGCTTTCGGAAACCGATAAAAGGGTTCTCGAGGGCAAGAAATGGGTTTCCGAACACTCGGAAACCTTTCTTCCTTGGTTTCCGAGAATACTGTTTTTTTTTAGAGAGTGGCATTAATATAATTGGTATTCGTAACATACTAACATGGCAAATTCTGTGCAAGTCAAAAGAAAATAACCTTATTGAGTGGGAAAAAACCCACTGAAAAAAGAAAAGGAAAGGAGAAAGAAACAAATGTTGTCTAAAGAAAAGAAGAAAAAGCTCTCGCGTCGCTTTCGTTGTTAAAAGGATTCTCCACTGTCATGACGTAGTCTTAGACATCTCTGCTGTTTGGCCGTTTGAAAACTATGTATATAGAGGAAGGGTAGAGATCGAGCAAATGTGGCCGCAGATAATGATCGAATTTTGAATTACTTTTAGAAGAAAGGTATTTTTCATTCTTTTTCTATCCTCTTTTTCACTTTGAAATTTTGTGACTTTTTCTAATAGAAAAATTTCAAAAATTTTTACAAGACAAGATAACATCAAATATGAATTCTTCTCAATTGTAATTCTTCCTTCTGCATAAGTATGAAATTATGTTAAAGAAAAAATGAACAAATATGAATCACCACAAGTGTTATTCTTATTCGTCATACAATCTTACATATTACTTTCATACATTAACATTAATTCATCTGAAAAAGATGACTTGATTTTAATTTAATTTTTTTTTCAGAATTCCATTGACTTAATTCGGCTTTGTCTTATCTAGTATAGACAAGGCCTGAATGTTTCTTTCTTTCTTTCTCCATGTGTTGAACGCATAGCATTGACTTGTTCTTAGTAGTCGACAAAAGCATTATGCATATCTAATTTTGAACAAAGAATAACAATGAAAAAAGACAAAGAGAAAAGAACAAGTTCAATTCAATATAAATATAGACGTATGCGATCTAACGCGTTAGTTGTGTTTGAACCTGACGTAGGTAAGAACACTTTTCATAAGACAAAATAATATTGACTAGGAAAATCATATCTGAACTCTTATTAGTGAAGATTCTTCTTGTTGTTTTTTTTTCTTCACATTGAATTTTTATAATTGTTATTTACAATTTTATTATATTTCTATGTACAAAATAGAATTAGTGGCGGAGTCAGAAAAAAGTTGTAGAGGGGGCTCAGCCCCGGTCCCAGCTAAAGTTCAAACTATGCTAGCGTAATATATTTTTACCATAGAAATAGTGATATACAACGAAAAGAAGTGAAAATGTTTAAATTGTTTATTTATTAGATCAAGTTTAACGTAATAATATTCGACTATTTCCATGATTTAGCGAAAAAACATCGATTATTCTTTCGAAGTCTATTTCAAAATTTCTTTCTACCGCTAATAAGCACATATCACTCAATCTTGAATCATTCATTGTATTTCTTGTGGATCGCTTGATCAGCTTCATCTTACTAAAACTACGTTCGCAACTTGTTGAAGAAACAGGTATGGTAAGTGCTCCAGTAATCATAGATATAACTGTTGGAAATGCTTCTTTATATGGTCTTAATTTCTCATATAATTCAATGGTGGATCTTAATTTTTCATCTTTTATCATTGGTTTAATAACATTCAATTCATTCTGTAACTGGTTCAGATCACAATTTAAATGATCAGCTAATGAACATAATGATTTAAATTCTAAAAATTGTTCACTGTCTGGATACATAGCTGCTAAACTTTTCAATAGATCCAAATTTATATTCGAGAATCTGTCGTTTAATTCGATCAATATACTATCAATTAAAGGATAAAATATGCTTGTTCGAAATCGATGTTCATCATTATTGTCATCATCTCGATGACCAATAGTACTTGTAATAATTGAATTAGAAAAACGAGCAGGTATTGTTCGTACTCGACCTCTTCTTCTTTTTTGTTTTAAATCAATATCATATTTTTGACTAAATTCAATAACTTGATTATAAATAAATTCAAATGATCTTTCATTACGACAATTTTGAATTTCTTCAATGATAGTTGAAATCAAATTATGAGCTTTACCATAATCAATTGTTGCACCTAAATAAAACCGAAATAGTCAATTAATTAATATTGATTTCAAAGATTCACTTTTAAGTTGATTTGATAAGATCTTAATCGGACCCATTAATTTATATAAAACAAATAATGTGACAACAAAAATTGGTTCTTTAACAGTAATAAGCAGCCCTCTAGCATTAACTGAACGTGTATCTTCTTCTTCAATAGTATCATCAAAAGCTTGAACAGCAGCTGAATAATTCCTAATTAATGCATCAATCGAATCCCACCTGGAATCCCATCTGATATCAGACCACAATTTTAATTTTGTTGTTTCTAAAATAAACTGTCTATGTGTAAAGTAAACAATAAAAGAAAAAGAGTATATTTACCTAGTTTTAATTTTTGTTGTGCACCAAGAAAATATTTATTTGCAACACCAGAACATATAAAAAACGAATAAATTGAAGACATGATCGAATAAAATTCACCAATATAATTCACCACTTTGCACACATCAACAATCACCAAATTTAATTTATGTGTGCAACAATGGATATATACACCTTTCGGCATATATTCTTCACGCATAATTGTTTGTAAACCTGCAGATTTGCCCGACATTACACTTGCCCTGAAAAAAAGAAAGTTTGTAGTTCATTCTAAACATGTAACAAAATTGATCTACCCGTCGTAACATTGAGCAATACATGAATCTAATTTAATGTTGCACTGCTCCAAAAATTCAAATTTTCAATGATAAACTTTTCGCATCAAACTCATGTAAACGTATAAGTCCCATAAAATACTCTTTAACAAGATCAGCCTTTGTATCAGGTGAATCAATTACTACACGAATAACAATGGATAATTGCTCATGGCCACTAATATCACGTGATTCGTCAGCCATTAACGAAAAAAAATTTCCTTTAACCTAAAGATGAAGATAAAAATAATTGATTACTTCTTGATAAAGTATTGCAAAAAATTAATTACTTGTTCACTGATTTGAGTACGAATTTGGTTTGCCATGATGCTAATAAGTTCATTCTGGATGTGATGAGATAAATAAGTTGCATTTTTGTTAGTATCTTCCAAAATTTCTCTACTAATTGGATCAGTCTGAGAAGACCAACGTAGAATCTCTAATAAATTACCACGATTTAATGAACTACAAAAAAAAAACAATGTAATCATTCTTAAAAAAAGAAAAATGNACGTATATATGGCAAATGATGTACTCTGTAGTTTTCTTATTACTATATCATTTGCATTAGAATGAGAACAAGATGTAACATCTTTCATTTCACAATATTTTTATCAGAAAATATTTTGAAATCGAAACATAAGATGTGCTTCTTCCTACGGACAAAAAGGGTAAATTGTTATATTTTACAATTCTCAGTTATTCTAAATATTACAAAAAATACGAACAAACTGATAAGAATCTTTTTTTTCAATTGAAAGTCTCAAATTCTATTTCTTAGAATTTTATCAAATCGAGTCGATTGCTAATTTTCTTTTCTGTAAATTTGTCTACTTGATATATATAAACAGATGTAATAAGAAGTATCAGGGTGTGGGTGTGGGTTAGGGGCGGAGCCAGAAAACAGTTGTAGGGGGGGCTCAGCCCCGATCCCTGCTAAAGTTCAAACTATACTAGCTTAATATATTTTTACCATAGAAATAGTGATATACAATGAAGAGAAGTGAAAATGTTTAAATTGTTTATTTATTAAATCAAGTTTAACGCAATAATATTCGACTATTTCCATGATTTAGCGAAAAAACATCGATTACTTTTTCGAAGTCTATTTCAAAATCTTTTTCTACAGCTAATAAGCACATATCACTCAGTCTTAAATCATTCATTGTATTTCTTGTGGATTTTTTGATCAGCTTCATCTTACTAAAACTACGTTCGCAACTTGTTGAAGAAACAGGTATGGTAAGTGCTCCAGTAATCATAGATATAACTGTTGGAAATGCTTCTTTATAAGGTCTTAATTTCTTATATAATTCAATGATGGATTTTAATTTTTCATCTTTTATCATTGGTTTAATAACATTTAATTCACTCTGTAGCTGGTTCAGATCACAATTTAAATGATCAGCTAATGAATATAATGATTTAAATTCTAAAAATTGTTCACTTTCTGGATACATAGCTGCTAAACTTTTCAATATATCCAAATTTGTATTCGAGAATCTGTTGTTTAATTCGATCAATATACTATCAATCAAAGGATAAAATGTGCTTGTTCGAAATCGATGTTCATGATTATTGTCATCATCTCGATGACCAATAGTACTTGTAATAATTGAATTAGAAAAACGGTCAGGTATCTTTCGTACTCGACCTCCTCTTTTTTGTTTTAAATCAATGTCATATTTTTGACTAAATTCAAGAATTTGATTATAAATAAATTTAAATGATCTTTCATTACGACAATTTTGAATTTCTTCAATAATAGTTGAAATCAAATAATGAGCTTTGCCATAATCAATCGTTTCACCTAAATAAAACCGAAAAAGTCAATCAATTAATATTGATTTCAAAGACTCACTTTTAAGTTGATTTGATAAGATCTTAATCGGACCCATTAATTTATATAAAACAAATAATGTGACAACAAAAATTGGTTCTTTAACAGCAATAAGCAGGCCTCTAGCATTAACTGAACGTGTATCTTGTTCTTCAATAATATCATCAAAAGCTTGAATAACAGCTGAGTAATTCTTAATTAATGCATCAATCGAATCCCACCTGGAATCCCATCTGATATCAGACCACAATTTTAATTTTGTTGTTTCTAAAATAAACTGTCTATATGCAAACTAAACAGTAAAAGAAAAAGAGTATATTTACCTAGTCTTAATTTTTGTTGTGCATCAAGAAAATATTCATTTGCAACACCAGAAGATGTGAAAAACGAATAAACTGAAGACATGATCGAATAAAATTCACCAATATAATTCACCACTTTGCACACATCAACAATTACTAAATTTAATCTATGTGTGCAACAATGGATATATACACCTTTCGGCATGTATTCTTCACGCATAATTGTTTGCAAACCTGCACATTTTCCCGACATTACACTTGCCCTGAAAAAAAGAAAATTTATAGTTCATTCTAAACATTAATAAAATTGATCTACCCGTCGTAACATTGAGCAATACATGAATCTAATTTAATGTTGTACTGCTTTAAAAATTCAACAATTTTCAATGATAAACTTTTTGCATCAAATTCATGTAAACGTATAAATCCCATAAAATACTCTTTAACAAGATCAGCTTTTGTATCAGGTAAATCAATTACTATTCTAATAACAATGGATAGTTGCTCATGGCCACTAATATCACGTGATTCGTCAGCCATTAACGAAAAAAATTTTCCTTTAACCTGAAAATGAAGAAAAAGTAATTGATTACTTCTTGATAAGTATTGCAAAAAATTAATTACTTGTTCACTAATTTGAGTACGAATTTGGTTTGCCATGATACTAATAAGTTCATTCTGAATTTGATGAGATAAATAAGTTGCATTTTTGTTAGTATCTTCCAAAATTTCTCTACTAATTGGATCAGTCTGAGAAGACCAACGTAGAATCTCTAATAAATTACCACGATTTAATGAACTGAATAAATAAACCAATGTAATCATTCTTTGAAAAGGAAAATGTAGCACTTACTCTTCGTTTTCATTATGACCACGAATAGCAATCATTTGTCGACTGCATAATAACAAAAGTGATGCGATCTTTATTAAACGATCTCTATTACGACGAATGTGTTGAGCTCGACCTGAATCCAAAATATCGATGACTGTTTGTTTTGTTTTTATACGTTGTTGGTATGATAAATAATTGTTGCTTGCTACTATATGAACTTGACTAGTAATATGTCTATCAAAACCTCTTTCTTTTTCAAGAGCACGTTTCCAATTGCGAAAACCACTGGATACAAAAGCATCATGTTGTTTTCGTTTTGTTAATGCTGAACTACTAAAACCAAAATGATGACAATAATAATAATATGCACAATCCTTTTTAATGGAATATTCAAGCCAAGGCCTATCTTGGTACCATTGATCCTGAAAAGAACGATTATCTTCATTTGTCGGATAGTTTATCAATATTGGTTGACAAGGTGAATCATGATATGAATTACTAATATCATCACATATGTTTTTATTCTCAACAGAATTTCCTACACCATCAGCATTTACTACTTCGATATCTTGATCAGATGTTGAAATTAAAGAAATCGATGGAGATGCAAAAGTGAAGGATGTTTGACTGATGTTCGTATCATTTGATTCAATATCTTGAAATTTTGACTTCTTTTGAACAGAAAAATAAGAGTCAATAGATGATGTTCTACGTTTATTATGATCCATCGAAGAATACCAATAGAGTTACATATATAACACTGGATGAACGAATATTTGACTGACTTTATTCGAGAAAACAGCAAGTATTTATACATAGGAGAGATAATTAGACGAGTTCGTGTAAGCTTTCCTAGTCTGTTTAGAAAAATGAACAATAAGAAGAATTAAGTCAATGATTCTTCTTACTCAGAAAAGACGTCAGTTAAGAAAAATAGGTCAGACGACAAAGAACATATGTGTAACAGCTGAACAGAAAAAGAAAAGAACAATAACATATGTATAACAGTTGGATAGAAAAAGAAAAGAAGTGGAGCACTATGTAACAAATAGTTACTACTAATAATAAAGAGAACAATCATTGACCGGATTACTTTTGGAAACTATAGTCATCAATAAGTGATTAATCATTTCTAAGAATATCATTCGATAAACAACCGAACGAAGTTTAATCAATGGAATTCATTGAAGAAAATGAATATGAAATACTCTTGTTTCTTACAAATATAACTCTAAATACTATCGGATGGTTCAGAATAATTATTTTCATTTTCTCAGAAAGATGGCTAGACTTAATAATTTTTTTCTAGAGGGGGCTCAGCCCCCTCTGGCCCACTCCTGGCTCCGCCACTAAATAGAATGCATAGATATTTTTCGATATTATTGAAAGAACATAATATTATAGATGCTATATTAAAGTTTTATCTAGTATATGAAGATTATTTCATATATATGTCGAAACATTAACTATAAGTTGATATAGCATGTTATAAACGAAAACAAGTACTGAAATGCTCTAGTGTAAATAAAGAAATTTTTTGATTAAATTTCTTTTCATAGATATTTTCATATTAATATATCGCTTACATCTAAGATTAATTGTGCGATGAAAAAACAAATCATCTATTAATAGTTATTATTGACAGTGCATTTCAATAAAATATGATATCGTTTGCCCGAGGAAAACTATTTCATTAGATGATGCAATAGAATTTCGGTAGAAAAAGCCATGTAATCATCTTGAAAGAACCTCATAACTATCATATTATGTATTTTCGTTTTTGCATGAAATTTAATAAATTTTCGAATTTTCTGCTCAATCTATCTCAAATTGAACAATAATTCTGTTTGAATAAATTTTTTAGATTTTATTAAAAATATTAGGAAAACATTAGGAATAGGACAGACATGAAAGTAACCTAAGTAGAAAAAGTATATGAATTTACCTAATTATTTGTAAACTATTTTGTGATTCGATGAAAATATGTAATATAAACATAAAATCACAATCGAATCGATTGAAAGAAAAAAATTAGAAAAACTTTATTAACATTAATAGTGCAATAGCTTTTTTCACAGTCTCGTCACCTTTTAATTCGGGTACAGTACCTATGAATAGAGCTTAAAATTCTAAACATTAGTAATCTCATAATTCTTAGTCATTCTGTCATAACCATTTTTAATCAAATAAAATGGATTTTGATTGTTTGTTAGAATATATTTACAATGACGAAAGTATTATTTCAAAAATTAAAACATATGATGAAACTAAATCTATTCAATTAGAATGGTCACAATCAAATTTAATTTTAATAAATAATCAAATATTTTTACCATATAAAGAAATATCATTACAAAATATTGATCTTCTAGTACAATGGACAATTGGAAAGTTTTAACTTTGTATTATAATCACATTGATATAAGTGATGAATTAAAAATAATACCGTATAAACGGCTAAATTTTCGAAAACGATTTTTCGTTATAATATTTTCTATTTGTTTATTATCAACAAATAAACGTGAATAATGAAATAAATA